ACCCGTTTATACGGGGTTCAAATGGGTTATTTTTGGCCGGGTTAATGGCTCGGGAATGCCCACGTTAAAAAGGCCTTGTGCCACATGACACCCCGTGGGGGTGACTGAATATTTTCAGTCACTCGTTCACTTTCTGAGCGACTGTTCGGTTAAACTCTCTTCCTACGGGTTGAAACGCCGAAGGGCCGGCCCTGAACCCGTTTATACGGGTTCAAATGTTATTTTTGGCCGAGCCTAATGGCTCGGAAATGCCCACGTTGAAAAGGCCTTGTGCTACATGACACCCTCGTTGGGGAGGGGGGTGACTAAATATCTTCAGTCAGTAGTTCACTTCTGAACCGACTGTTCGGTTGAACTCTCTGCCTTCGGGCGGAGAGAGGGACCCGAACGAGGCTAAGCCGAAGGGCGGAGTCTCTTTCGGGGAGGTAAACCGGCCCTGAGCCCGTTTATACGGGTTAATGGGCATATTTTTGGGCCGAGCCCACGGTCTCGGAGAACCCACAATAAATAACCGACCTTGTGTCACATGCTACCCCAGTGCTGGGGGGAGTGACTGAATATCTTCAGTCAGTAGTTCAAATCGAGTCAATGTTCGAGTCAGAGGCAGTCCGGAAACAGAGTCGCGTTTAGACCATTACTGCAAGACATTTGAATAGTGATACTGGTCGAGAATAAATTGTTCTCTCTACTAAACCACATTGTTCATACTAACACTTCTAATTCTCTGTATAAATTCATGTTTGTAATATATCTGTGTTATTCCATACCTGTGTTCGAGTTCTTCTTTATTGGTTCTGCCTTGGACTATCACCGTGGTACAAGGAACCGGACCATAACACTTATAATAGAAACCTAGAAGAAATATTGCTATTTATAGCAATTAAAATCAAAAATAAAAGAGAAAATAAAGTCGCTCTTATAGAAACATAGATCCACCGTCCACAGAGAAAATATTTTTTCTGTAGCAACAAAATTCACCTCAGGACATTTTAAAAGAAGCTAAACATTTTTTTTTACGTAACATGGATCGAACTAGGACAATTTAAAGAGAATATAAGACATTTTTATAACAACGCATATCAGCTTAGGATAGTTTAAGAAAGAAATATAATGTTTGTAATGACACATAGGGCAGATTTAAGAGGAAATAAATCATTTTTATAGGAACAAAGATCAACTTAAGATAGTTTCAAGAGGAAATGTTATTTTTATAATAATATGAGAAAATAAGTCAGTTTTATACCAACACAGATCAACTTAGGATAATTTAAATGTCATTTTTATAATAAAACAGTTTTAAAAGAAAATAAGACATTTTCATAGCAACACATATCAATTTAGGACAGTTTAAAGAGGAAATGTCAATTTTGTATTAAAACCTAGGACAGTTTTGAAAGTAAATAAATCAGTTTTATAGCAACACAGATCAATTTAGGATTGTTTAAGTAGGAAATGTTATGTGTATAATAATACTAGGACTGTTTTATGAAAAAATAAGTCACTTTTATACCAACACAGGTCGACCTAGGATAATTTAAAGAGGAAATTTCATCTTTATAATAACACAGTTATTAAAGAAAATAAGACATTTTTATAGATAGATATCGACTTAGGAAAGTTTAAAAAGGAAATACCATGTCTGTAATAGCATCTAGGACAGTTTTAAGACGAAATAAGTTATTTCTATAGCAACTAAGATCAACTTAGGATAGTTCAAGGAGGAAATGATTTTTATAATCATACCTAGGACAGTCTTGTGAGAAAATAAGTCAGTTTTATACCAACACAGATCGACGTAGGATAACTTAAAGAGGAAATGTCATTTTTATAATAAAACAGTTTTAAAAGAAAATAAGACATTTTTATTGCAACAGATATCGACTTAGGATAGTTTAAAGGGGGCATGTCATTTTTATAACACCTAGGACAGTTTAAAGAGGAAATAATTTAGTTTTTACTGAAACCTAGTTAATTAGGAAATTAATAATTTCTATAGAAACTCAGATCTACTGATTATAGTCAAGAGGAAGTGTTGTTGTTTACCATACCAACCCAAAACAAAATCACATAATCTACCTAGAAGTACAGACTAAATCTACTAATCGTATGCAATTTTCTTGTAATACCTCGGAGTATTCGTGCGAATAGTTTTATGCATGTAATAATGGCGATTTAGGCAAACATGGAGTGACATTGTCAAAGGCAAGAAGGGAAATTTCTAAAGAGAAGTCAAAGAGAGAAATGAACAAGAATATGTTCGCCTATGCAACAGTTCACACACATCCCCTGTCTTTTGAACAGGAGTAGAAGTTTATTATTTGTTTCCTCTTTAGGATTAGGTTTTGGGTTATTTCTAAAGTTTTTTTCTTCCGCTTTCAATTACAGTAGTCCCTACAGTGTTAGCGGCATTTTCGCCTTGCTTGGGGTGAATAGATAAAAGAAAAGAAGGCAAGGATATTGACATCCATATGAACCAGTTGACAAAGTAGACGTCTTTCTTGTCTCTGCCGTATCACTTCACAGGCAGGGGTGAGCAACGTTCTCTATAACTTCCTATCATTTAGAATTCTTAGTATTCTTTGCTGTTTCGATGTATCTGTAAGGATACCAAACCAAACAGCAATCTTTTCTGTTTGGTGGAGATGTAGTTACGTGGGTCACGTGATGGACGCTTAGTGACGTCACTCTAAACATTCTCAAAGTCGGAGTCCTTCAGTCTATTTACAGGAGCCAAACAGAAAGTTTTTTTTTTTAGCCCGGGTCCCTTCGCCCGGGTTCAGGCTAAATCTGCCTCCTACAGCACGTGGTACAGCTTAGAAGCACATGGATCTATCTATCTATCTATCTATCTATATATATATATATATATATATAAAAGTGAACATTGAAGTCAAAACTTAGTCCGTTTCATGCAAGACGCAATCGTCAGCGCACGATTGCGTATAGCATGAATCAGACTGTCGCCTCTAAGTGTTGACTTCAATGTTCACTTTCATATTTACACACGCTCTATCTCTGATATTGAGCACTTTATCCCATAAATATTGCATATTTGAGACTATATATATATATATATATATATATATATATATATATATATATATATATATATATATATAAGAAATTCCAGTTAGTTGTCCTAGATTTCCAGAAAACTCACGTCCCGCTGTTTCCTATATTAGATAAATCCTGTCGGCTGGAATCTGGAATCCTAAACAACGCTTCTAAAGAAACAGAGAATAACCTCTATAATTTATGTAACTGTTCCGATCAGTTACTTTCGTTGGTTCCCGGACTGCAGGAATTTAAGCGAGCTACTAGGTTGCCACTTCGGTCCCACCGTTTTACTGTCAAAACGGTCAAATGTAACCGTCCCTTCTACTTAAACAGCTTCTTCCACCGCACTTATCGTCTGCGAAACTCCCTTGCCTTTACTTGCTTCCTTGCTTTTAAGTGTAATATCAATCGACATCTGACACCCTGAGGTTGTTCCACGTCCTTCTCTGTAACCTTTTCCCAAAAATACCTCTTTACTCTTGTTCGCAATTCTCTTTAAGGTAACCCCTTGCGTGCTAGTGGCATTCCCGCCTTCCTTAGTGTGAATTGCTTTAAAAAGGGGGCCCTATCTTTTCGTTTCACTGTATTTGCTGTATGTTATATTTATATTTTTATCTGCATAGGGTAAGTATATATATATATATATATATATATATATATATATATATATATATATATAATTACATGAATAATTCATACAAAAAAAAACAAATATAGAGGTTAATGATTTAAACGGCGAGAATACATCTTCGCAAACAGTTTCAATAAGTAACACTAACCCCGAACCTGTATATGAATGATATGATCCCTGTTTATAAATTCCAGTTTCATAAGGTCTTTTTTAGTTTTTACAAGCTTTCGTCTGTTCCTACAGACATCCTCATGTATGGAGAAATAGATTTGTTCTTGTTTTTTACTTCTTGGTAATAAGAGGACAATGAAAATATAGATGTAATCCGAAAAAAATGCTATGAGAAATGTATTATTGTTTTGGAACGTGCGGTCGCAACGCTGAGTTTGAATTTTAAATTTTAAGGTTGTGCGTATTTGTACAAATATAGTAATAAGAGAATTCTTTTGTACTGGTAGGTTTTTACAGTCAATGTGGCATGAACTATATTGTTCAATAATTACAGAAATGTCACAGTTATTATCCGAAAGTTCATGCCACATTGACGGAAAACCTAACACGGATTTATTATATCATGGCTATAATAATGCCCATAATGGGGAAAATCAAAAAGCAGAATAAACCTCTCTTCCCAGCTCTCCCATTATACCTCCAATTTTTGTTCTTTCTACTATATAAATGTGCTCGTTCAGTAGGACAATTCCTGTTTTTCTTTCCACCTGCCTTTAATATGCCCTAAGTATGTGAAAGTTTTTAAGCCCCCTATCCTCATGTTACGTCCTGATATTTCAATTATCGCATTCTGATTCTATGTATAAATCTTATTGTTGTCTATTTTTTCTCTAAAACTTTGTCGTTGTTCATATTTTCCATTCATGGTATTCTCAGCATCCTTCTGTAGATCCATATTTCTGTTGCGTCAAGTGTCGATTTCCTCTGTTCAGTATTCACTGCCATATTGGAAGAACAACACGACATAAACGTCCATTATTCTTTTTGTTCTTAACGAAATTTTCCTGTTTCTCATTACTTTGTTTAGATTTCGGAAGACAGAATTCGTTATTCTAATGCCATTAAGGATTTACCCCTCACGTTTTTTGCCCTCTCTTTACACAAAGTTTGAGGAAACAGGAAAATTGCTTTTAGAAATTAGTGAAAGTGTCGAGAAGAAAAAGACGACGGTGACAAGTGAAAGAGAAAAGAACGAAACATAAAAGAATTAGATGAAGAAGAATAAGTAAAATAAAAAAAAATAATACGGGAAACATGAAAAGATTTTAAAAAGAGGGAAATAAACGAGAGAAAATCAAACAGATGTAAGAAAGGAGACGAAGCATAGAAAAGAAAGGGAAAAGAAAAACCCGTGAAAGAAGAAAAAAGAGGAGAAAGAAAGATTGCAAAATGAGAAAAATGTAGGAAAAAAGAAGAAAATATATAAGATTTTAGGGAGGAGGAGAAGAATCATAAAAAGAAAAAAGGAAGAAAATAACCCGTGAAAGAAAGAAAAAAATTTAAAAAAATTAAAAGACTGCAAAAAGATGAAATTGTATGAAAAAGAGAAACATAATAATATGTAGACAAAGAAAAAAAGTAAAAGAAAAGAAAAAAAAGAAGGAAATGTAGAGAAAGAGGGAATACTAAAAGAAAAGAGAGTAATATAAAACGTAGGAGAAGAAAAAAAAAAGGTAGAAGAAAAAGAAGAAAATATCGAAAAAGAGAAAACAGAAGATATGTCGATATGGGTTAAACAGAAAAAAAATTATATGTGGATGTAGCCAAAGAAAAAAGAGTAGAAAAAAGAGGAATATAAAAAAAAAAGAGATGAAGAAAAGTCGAAAGAGTAAAAAAAAAGAGATGAATATAAGATAATATAGAGTAAGAAGAATGAGTGCCAAGAATGAGCCAAAAAAAAAAAAAAAACGAAAAGAGAAAGAGAAATATAAGAAAATGAAAGAAACAAAACGAAAAAGGGAGACATAAGATAATTAAAGAAGAAATAGTTTACTATATATAAGAGAGAAAAAAAATTAGAGAAAAGGGAGAAATATGAGATGTAGACAAAGGAAAAGGGTAAAAGTAAGGAAAGAAAAGTGAAAAAAGATAAAAAAAAAAAATATAAGAACATGTAAGCAAAGTTTTTCACCTTTGCCTACATGTTCTTATATTTTAAATACACAAAAATATGTATACATTTACACGTCCCCTAGGCAGATAAAAGAAAAGAGATAACTATAAGATGTAAGCAAGGAAGAAAGAGTAAAAAAAAAAAAGCGAAAAAATGGTAACAAAAAAGAGTGAAATATAAGATAATCTGGACTGAAAAGAAAGAGTATAAAGAAAAAGGAAGAAAAAGAAGAAGAAAAAGAAAAGAATATGTAATAAAGGAAAAAAGAATAAAAAAAAGAATAATATAATTAAAAAAGAAAGAGCAAAAGCAAAGTGAATAACATGATAATATAGACAAAGACGAAATAGTGCAAAAAAAGAGAAAGAAAAGAAATAAAGAAATATAATATAGCATAAACAAAAAGAAAAGAGCGTAAAAATAGAGAAAAAGAAAGAAACACAAGGAAAGCTAGCGATGAAAAAGTTCTCAAAGAAAATTGACATATAAAAATATATGGGCAAAGCGGAACGAAAAAAGAAATATAATATATAGTTAAAGAGGAAAGTGAAGAATAAAGGAAAAAAAATGCAAGAAAGAGAGGGAAATATAAGAAAATGTAGAGAAAAAGAAAAGTCTAAAAGAAAAGAGAAATTTAAGATGTTGAAAAAGGGTGAAAGAATCAAATAAAGGAAAGTAAGAGAAAAAAACAAGAAAATATCGACAAAGAAGGAAAAATAAAAGAAAAAGATGAAATATAAGAGTTAGAAAGAGAAAAGAAATGAAGGAATAATATGTACAAGAACATCTAATGCAAGTAGAAGAAATACATTGAAGAATCTAGAAGGCGGGTCAGAAACCAAATTACATCCCTACATCTTAGGAAAATCTGTAATTTGCCCCGAACATAAGCAGGTGGGTTTAGCAGAAGTCAAAATGACATTTGTTTTCAAGTTGCCCCTCCCATTCCCTTATGTGAAATGTCGGAAATGACAACTCGAAGGTCGAATTTGCAAGATTCCGCGAATCTGAAATACCCCTTAGCAGGGAGCAGAGGCCGATTTACATTGCCGAAGCGCAAACTTCCTGGACTTGAGGACATTGATGCCGGATTTCTGAAAACGAAGTCTGCTTTTGTGGTTGATTTAAGGATCTTAAGAAATAATCCTTGACATATGAGCTCTTGGGTATTATTTCGCATTTGCATCTGTTTCCGTGTCTTTTTGGAAGAAAAAAAAACGACGAGAAAGAAAACGAAAAAAAAAAAACATGAATAGGAAGTGTATTTCCAGACATTGAAGAGGAAATATATTGGTGTTGATTAAAAGGAAAAAAAAATGAAGGCGTTGCTTGAGTGGTAATTTTTGAAGGTGAAAATAAATTGTATATGAAGGGGATATAAATAAAACAGGTAATCGTGAGATGCAGAAAAACAGAACAAATACAAAAGGATGAAGATCAAGAGTAACAAAAATAGAAACAAAAAAGAATAATAACATGAATACGAGGAAGAACAACAACAATAGGAACGAAGAAGAAGAAGAAGAAGAAGAAGAAGAGGAGGAGGAGGAGGAGGAGGAGAAGAAGAAGAAGAAGAAGAAGAAGAAGAAGAAGAAGAAGAGCAGTAGGGGAAAAAAATTAAGAGAAAGAACAATCCAACAAAGAACAAAAAGAAAATGAAGAACAACAAGAATAAGAACAAAAAAGTAAAAAAAAAAAAAAGAGGAAGAAGGAAAAGAAGAAAAACGATCATGTCAAAGAAAAACGAAAAGAAGACTGTAATGAGAAAGGAATAACAAGGAAAAATATTAGTGGAAGGAATTAAAGAAAACTTAAAAGGAAAATAAGAAGGAAAAGTGCCATTATTACGTGTTAACGAAAGGAACTATTGCAGATTTTAAAGATAGAAAAGAAAAGTATAGCGACAGTCCTGAGAAAGAGGAGAAAGAAAAGGAAATAATTTGTTAGCTGTCGTATAGAGGATGAAAAGTAGAAAAGGTCATAGGATATTGGTAAATGAACGACAATGAAATGGAAGAAAAGGCAACAGAAACATAGTGAGAATATTGAGAAAGAATAAGACTCAAAATGGAAAATAGAAAGAAAACAAAAATAAGGAAGAAAATATATATTAGAAATATATGTTGATTGTTATTTCTGAAAGAGTTTTTCATAACTTAGGTAAGAATAGCGAAGCTCAGAGTATTGCTTTATTTCGAAAATGTTTGGCAAGGTTTCATATCCTGGACTTATTCGCAGGTTGCAAGCTTATGGTGTTTCGCATGTTTTACTTAATTTGATTAAACTTTTCTCATCAAATCATGTAATGAAAGCCATCTATAATGGTCACTCCGCTAGATCCCTTTGCATTAATGCGGATATCCCAGAGCGCTCTATACTTGAAACTACTACTTTTTATCCTTATTTAAGCCAACGACATTCCCGATGTCATCAGTTCCAGACTATTTACTGGTGTCTTAATAGGAAGTCTGATAAATTTGATAAGATCAAATTAGAAGTTGATCTTTACAATTACCTTAACACTTTGAGCCCTTCGTTCCTGAACAATTTTAAACCATCTGCCTGAGCCCCTGAGTCAAAATTCGCAAACAATTACGATGTAACGTTTCACGGGAGATATAAAAATACTTACAAGTGTTTACCCACCGTTCAACCGATGGCTGAATATTAACTCATTTTTCTGTACCATTGTTCAACCGGCGGTTGGGTATTACTTCATTTTTTTCCACAACATGTAAAGAGGTGACCACTGCTCAAAGGGCTAAATCGTCTACTAACTGAGCTGGGCTTGAAGTGGTTTGGCAATTGTAACGCAAGTCATAAACACAACTGCTTTCTCACTAAGTAAAGCTTACAGAAATTGTTTCACCATAATATAGCTTGCACATTGTCTACCATTCGTCCCTGAATTAAATATCTCTGCTACATATAGAATGGTTCATCTGTTATATATCGAGAGAATTTTGCGATAATCCCAAAAGAAATCTGCAACGTTATCGGCTCAGTCCTGGCATATCGGCTTCAGTTACTTTCCCGCCGCCTTAACGTACATTTCCCGTGGCTTTTCTATAAATACAGGGTGCGATGGAAAAATTATCAACATATTATATTTTTAATTTCGCCTGGGCGTTGTTTTTTATTCATTCTTTTCTATACTACACAGTAGAGTAAGATCAATTGGCGTCGTTTGTGACAAAAAAGAGCACCATGACGCAGTTCACTCAACCAGAAATTTGGAAACATGCTGTAGTTGCTTGACACCGCGGCCGGAAGCTCCACTACGAACATTCAGATTCAGGGTGTCAAAGTGAAGACGGTTTGGAAAGAGTTGGATGAGTCTAATAACAATTACGAAGGTCCTTGAAGGGATCACTAGTGATGGTGGCGTTATAAATCTATTCATCTCCACACGGATTCTCAGACTAAATACGGGGTCCTACATCAAGTACCTTGAGGAGGTAGTGCTGTTCTGGTTCAAGAAGGTGGCTTCTGGAAGACCCTATGTCTAGCAACAGGACTCTGCACCATGCTACACAAGCAGGAGAAGCCAGTCATGGCTATCAGACAATTTATGCGACCACATCACCGCTTAGATCTGGCCACCTAACTCCCCAGATGCAACGCACTTGATTATTATGTGTGGGGCTCAGTTGAGCAGGAAACCAACTAAACTCCTTGTAAAATCAAAGGTGAACTGAAGGCAAGGTTTATGACAGCATTCATCAACTTAAACAAGGAGACCACCCAGAAGAGTTGCAGGTGGTTCAGAAATCATCCGTGGTTGATGCCAATGTTGTTTTTTTATTGAATAAATTCATTATTTAGTAGTTCATGATATGTTTGTGTAATTTTGATAAACTCATCTGAGACGTCATTCATATTTTCCTTTTTGCGTCATTTAGACGACATTTTATCCATCGCACCTTCTATTTTTTTACGCTAGCGTTCCACGTTGGTACCCCAAAGGGATTTAAACGCAGTATGAAATTGACACCTAGGTCTCAATTTCACAGTTAATTGTAATCGTAGTTTTCTATACTGTTTGTTCTTTCTCCCGGACTTTTCGTTTGTGGAAATCTCTTCCGAATCCAGGATCTCCTGCCAACTACTACCTTCAAAAATGTAAATGTAGTGCCAATCGCCATCTTCTACCACCTTGAATCATGTCCTTTTATCCCTCTCTATGTTTATTCCAATCTTATTAACTACCGACATCTTAGTGGTTTTGCTTGATTTGCTTCGGTTTTAAAGGAATACTAATCAATACAAAACTTTCTGTTTTTTTCTTTCGATTTGTCCAGCATGTCTTTTGAGAGTTGAATGTACTATCACTTTGTTTTTTTCTCTCTCAAAGCTTCTAACTTAGGCTTTACACAATCCCTTAATGCTTCTCTCTTTGGTGAGGAGCTGCGGTGAAAACGCGCTTCATCTTGGCAATCACAAGCAATGATGTTTTTGAACCAATGAAATTCATTATTTAAGTTAACTGTACAATGTTGATAGCAGACAGAGAAAGAAAGCTATAAATCTCCTACAGAAGGTAGTGAAAGAAAAGCGAGATGAAAGGCTTAAACATTACCTGCAAGAAGACAGAATGTGTGGCTGTTAGCAAAATGATGAACCCAAAGTGCGAATTGAAGATAGGACATACCAAAATCAAACAAGTGTGGGACTTTTAATATCTGGGAAATGTTTTAACAGAGGATGGAAGGTGTGACACTAAAATCCCAAGGTGTATGGGATTGCTTCCAAACGCTAAGAGAAATACTAAGAAATAGGGAAATATCAATCAAAACCATGAAAAGAGTACTTAAAATCTACGTTATATCAGTCCTCTTGCATAAAACTGTTGGATGATCTCCTCAAAGATGAAGAAGAGACATAAAGCAAAAGATATGTGGTTCTGCACAAGGATGATGAGGATACCCTGGACCGAACACGTGAGTAACGACGAAGTTTTAGAGAACATAGGAAACTAAAAGTAAAATAATACTTGACATCAGGAAGATTCTAGAGCATATATAGTGAGGAAGGAAGGCTTGGAAAATTTTACACTCAAGGATCAGAGAGAGGACAAGAGGGGCAGAGGAAAACAACGTATAACATACTCAATGAGCTTGAGTAAATGGATGTCGATACTGGGCTCAGGAGAAATAACAGAAAGACAAACTTTATTAAGAGCTACAAAGGATAGGAAATAGAGGAGAGACAAGATCGACATCGTCCTGAAACGAAACAGCACATAAAGAAGAATAAAAAAAAGCAACTTACAATCCCCGTCGATGTTGCTATTGCCTTGGCATCAGAATAATAGTAAAACATGGAGAATATTGTCATGAAAATTGTACTTGATTCAGTGCATAATACAAAGAATATAAGCAATCAGAATTTTCATAGAGCAACTGAAATAGAAAACTCATAATACTGAAATACCGTAATTACCCATGTATAATACGCATTTTTTTTCTAATAAAAATAATACATAAAATTAGGGGGCACATTAGCACAGCTACTAAACTTTTAAAAATTGCTGTAAAATAAAATAAGAATTATAAAACTAAATTAGAATAATATTATTCTATGCTTAAAACCATTTTTAAATAAGATTAGGAAACGATGTCCGTAAGGAAATTGGAGAGGTACAATTTACAGGGTTTGATTACCAAACAAGGGGTGCTTATTATGCATGAGTAGATGCACTTTCACAGAATTTCAGCACAATTTTTAGGGATGTGTATTGTGGATGAAGTAAAAAGAAAACCGTTAAAAAAAATGCAATAATAATATGGTAAAATGTTGGTTCTTTAAGATGTTAACATTCCACACAACTTCAACTAGAATATACGGAAGGAAACCCCCATCAATTCTGGAAAGAGTGATAAAAGCTACTGGACGTGAGAAACCTGTTTTCTTAAAAACGTTGTTTTAAGTGAAAAATTTTATGAATTTCAACCGAAAATTGTACAGACTTCTCGGTTAATGAATGCCAAATGTTTCCTTCTTAAGAAACAGTTATATGATTTGTGTTTTGTTGTTCTTGTTGTTTTTGTTCTTGTTCTTCGTACTTTGTGCCTTCAGAACATGGGTGATCATTATTCAACACAGCTTCCTTCTTGATCTTTTACCCTGTAACAGTCTTTCACACTTTGGCAAGGCATCTCTCTCCAGTTTCCCCTACAATTCAGTGAAGCTCGTCGCGTATGTACCTCGCTGAGTTCTCCTATCGCTTCCTCGCTTTATCTATGGAATTCTCAATATCCTACTGTAGAACCACATTTATATTGCTTCTAGGTTTATTTCCATCTGTGAGGAGATTGTCCAACTTTCATTGCAGTTTACAAGGATGGATGTCACTTAGTCTTTCAGCACAGTTTTCTTTCTAACTAAATTTTGATGTAACGTAATACTTTGTCTAGCTTTTGCAGTGCATATTTCCCTCATATAAAGAGAGTTTGGATTTCAATGTCACATTTTCCATCCTATGTGTGTTATAATATTCAATAAAAAGACAAAGCATAGCTAAAAAAATCAACAAAAAAAGCCTATAAAAATATAATTGTTTAAAAATATGACTATGCATTATTAATGTTTTGACCTATTTTATAAGATTATTCCGTAGTCGAAAATGTGCGCATGTTATCGGTGTTCTATTTTAACTAAAGAACATTTTATGCAGATTTTCAAGGCCGTCTTAAATTAAGAGCTTTAGGCAAAAAATCCTTTCTTTCGCTGAATTCTCCCGTGTAACTTACGAGGGTAATTTTTGTGTATTTTTCGAACGATAGCTATGCAATGTATGGAACTCCGCAAGGGTCATTTTGACCTATCGGATAACATTTATTATCAGTTCAGCATTGCGTTGTTGAAGTCGATATTCTGCAAACAAAGAATAATCGTACAATTGATCTT